ATGTACCATGCATGTTCCTTTCCATTTATTTCGCTTTAGAATCATAGCTATCATAAAAAATATAGTCTGATTAAACCCGTTCACGGGATTCAACTGGAATGCTGGGAAAGAGACTTTCATATTCCTGTTACCTCGCATGGTATCTGTGTGACCTCTGATTTGAAGTTGTCCGAGTGAAGTCAAGCAGAAATCCCATAATAAGAAATTTTTATAGAACGTTTTGCAGACGGAATCACTACCGCATATTGGGTAAAATGGTCAGTCATTACTAGTATGATAGCATCATGAATGAGATAATCCATACATAATAACATAGATTGGGCTGTTTGTATGTTTACCAAGGTGCAGTCACTTGTGGCTAGTAAGTCTTAATCACAACTCTTAATCTTATTTTCTAAAAAACAATTTGTATTGAACTTCACCTTTCTATGGTGCAGAATCCCATCCTTGAAACATAACTGATCCTACTGCCTGAGTTAAATTCCGACACAAGGGTTCTCATGTATTCGTACATCCGCTTTTGGTGCTTGGCCCTACTCTCAGTATACCAATCTTCGGTTCTTTTTTCTGCAACTTTTGCCATTCCATCATGGTAACTGTGGCTAGTTATACTTTCCTGGAGTAGGTGGTGGATTCACAGAACTATCCAGAATGACCTGAATAATACAGCTGAGTGTCCACCAACAAGGTATGATGCCGTGTGTATGTTGATTCCTTTAGCCATAACTATTTGTAACAATGTGTGATAAAGAACAGTGGCAAGTCCTCGGATACTGCTGGTAAATTGCTAATGGAACATGACATTGGGCATGTTTTTTTTTTTAAATTTTTACCCGAGATATATATGTATAAGCTTGCTTCGCACTAGGCGTACAATTCCACAATTCATGTATGTCTAGTATGTCTAAAATTATCTTTTCCTTGCAGTATGGCGGACACAAGCTTTTGCTTGTGTTCATCTGGTGTGCAAGGAACCAACATGTCTGGAACTGGAACTGGAAACGAGACAATGCAATCTTCTGCCTACCAGGAATAATCTGCGCAAGAATGATGAAATTGTGCTGCATGGCAGTCAATGTTAAAAGACGTAGCAAGTTTTTATAGCATGGCAGAGGAATGATGCCCCAGACTTTCTGATAACATGAACTGTAGCTTAATTCTTAAAGTTTAAGTTTAAGTTTAAACAACTTTCCCCACAACAACAATATGGAGCGAAAACAATATATAACTCTAGGGTCATAGACCATTCATCATGTTGCTTAAACATTACATTGAGGCGACCTTAGTTCACAGAACTAACATCCCTGGAAATAACCTCCAAACCTTTTAGTTGATGAGTCATCTATATAAATGTAGATCACTAATTACGCCATTATTCAAAACTAAAAGAATACTATTACAGGCTGAAAAGTCAAAAAGCTTGGTTGGACATTCATGAAAGTTAGTTGTAAATTTGATTGGCACGGACAACAAGTTGGTTTGAAGTGGGGAAAGTTGTATCAAAAGTTGGTTCCAAATTCGAAGT